CTGGGGAATTCTGGGAGTTGTAGTCCACACATCTTCAAGTTGCCAAGGTTGAGGAACCCTGGTTTAAAGTATTGGCCAGATCTGGACTTCCAGGAAAAGAGCTTACTGAACAAGTAAAATTCTCAGGGTACTGATTTTGATTGAACCTAAACAGCTTAGAAGGACAGGGTGGTTAGCACTTTGATATATGATCACCAGAAAATCCCAGGGCTGTAGGTTGGACTGGGAGATTGAAAAGATCTCTTGAAGGAAGGTAATGGGGAGAAACACCTCTGCACCATTGTCAAGAAAACCCTCAAGGACAGGTCGCCAGGATGTCACCAGCAAACTGGACCTTTAACATTCTTGAGCAATGGGAGCACAGGACTTGATCACATCTGGCAAACAAGTGCAGTCATCTTTCACGGAACAGGGTCACCTGATGCTGCCCTAGAATCCTTTTCTATATTTGTTTCTAGTAGCCCATAATGCATAAATTAACTGTATTAAAAGGCAGGCAGTCACTTAGGGTAAATGGAAGTCCTCTACAAGCAGGGTATTTTGGCAGATCCAGTGTGACCATGGAGTGTGACACACTGTTTTTCAAAGTTAACTTGTTTCAGGAACAAGTGCTTGTGAAATAACGTAATCCCCAGCCAGCTGCTTCAATGATCAAGCTAAAACTGTCCAGACCTGTTTTCTTTTGCCTTCACACTTGACTGTAACAACTTATTGTGCGTGGAAGAGTTTGTTTCCATTTTAAGATGATGCAGTTGGTGCCCTCGTGAGCTGGGCTGTTTGGGGAGTCCTGCTAAACCCCCTCATGCAGAGAAACCCACCGAGATTGCTAGTGTGGTTCTCTGTGCATCTGAAATTGGTGGCACATTTGTGAAAAGTGCCACTCACTTCATAGTTAATGGCTCAAATGATCCTTAAGAGAGAGATTCAGGATCATTCTCTGATAGTTCTTGTGTCTGGAAAATAGTTGAGGAAGACTTGCAAGAAACCTTTACATTACCCAGAAGGACTGGCTTAGAGGAAGCCATGTGGGTCCGCAACTCCTTCAAGCTCAGCTAGCATGGCCAGTATCTGTGCTGGTTAGTGTGGTCCAAGATACCAAGAGGGCTTTAAGTTGGGGAACGCTGATTTAGGCTCCTAGACAACTCTCTTTCTGTTTCTACCAGTGGAGGTAATGTCTCTTCTACCAACGGAGGTAATGTCCCTCCCTTCTCCCCTGTGTTTTGGGTGCCTTTGAGTCAGTCTTGATTACTGGCAACTATACAGACAAATCCATGCAGTTTTGTTGGGAACTTTTTCAGAAATGGCTTGCCATTGCCTTCTTCTAGGGCTGAGAGAGAATGACTGGTCCAAAGTCACCCAGGTGGCTTCCATACCTAAGGCAGAACTAGAACTCATGGTCTCCCAGCTTCTATTCCACTGCCTTTAACCACCGTGCTAAGCTGGCTTTCCCTTATCTCACCTTTTACTCTTAATTGATGGTGTAGCAGCTTTGAAAAGATCAGTATGATAAAAAGTTCCTTTAGTTCAGACTCCAGTGATGCTCACATAGATCCTTCCAGAGGTTCACTTGGACTTGGGTGAAAATGTAGAATAAGGTTCCATATGCATCAGTCTTTTCTCAAGGGGAAAAAACTCCATGGAGCAGAAAGGGATTGATAAGGTGAAGTGCTTTTTAGCCCCAGTTCGTGGGTAGGGCAGTCCTACAAAGATTTCAAAGAGCTTGAACTACCTACAACTCCCCAGTTGGCCTGATGATGCCCATTACATTCCTGGTGGGCCCCAGTCTCAGATAATACACCAACCTCCCCCAACAGTTGCCTCCCCAGTGTGTTAATCATTGATTCCCATGCTGCTGGAGACTCCTAGGAGTTGAAGTGGGACACCCCTGGAGGATGGCAGATTCAGAAGAGCTGAGAGAGGGCTTGGGGCAGTCTTACAAAGCCATTAGTGAGAACGTCTTCTAACAGTTCCTGTTTCTTGTGTGTTTTTTTTAACTTGCAGGTGTGCAGAGAGCCAGGGAGGCATTTTAGTGTGTCAAAGATGATGTGGAGAGACACTCTGTGAGTAACCATTTGAGTATTACATAAAACAGTGACTCTGTGAAACTGAAGTGCTTAACTTTATCCCTATATTGCTAAGAAATTGCATGCATGTATTTTATTTATTTACAAAATTTATGTGCTGTCTGCTCTTAACAGGTTTAAGCTAACGGCAGAGCAAACCTGATTTGATTATGGAAAATAGTAGGTTTTAGCTGTGCCTGACTCATTCCAGTGTAACTCATTTTAAGATAAAGATAGGACCTTTTTATATTAGATTAATTTTATATGATGCTACGCAGCAAACTGTTCAACCCAGTTCAAAATACACAGAATAATAACAATATAGTTCAGTAAAAAACCAGCACATTAGTAAGATATTTTAGTTCCAAAACATTTCAGCTGAGTGTTGGGGTGAACTCTGGAGCAGGTCAGCAGAAGATTTTAACGTTTAGCATTTGCAGTATTCAATTAAGTGTTCCTCTAGGTAGTTTTCTCAGCACAAATGTATGCTCAGCAATGAGGTAGTGACCCCATGGCTTATCTTGTGTATCTTTACTGCTTTTAATGGCACACAATATGGTTTTGTATTTTTATTGTTTATTTTCACCGTCGAAAATATCCTTCTTTGGTAACAGCTGTTCAGGGTGACTTTCAGTAACAAAGCAATAATCAGAGTTTAGTAATATGTACTGATAGCTGTAAAAAACTCTTAAATGGAGTCCTTGGTGTTCTCTGAGCTTGGTTGTTTTTGCTCCCTGTGGGAGCAAACCCCACACCCCCTCGCACTGATGATGTTCCCTAGTTGGGTAATGAAACGCCTGCAAGCCAACCACCCAGCTCGGAGCGCACCAAGGACTCCGCAGTTCAGCCCTGAGCTACAGAGATGCTCTTCTGTTGAAACTCTTAAGTGAAACCAGCAGTAGCTCTGAAGATGAAAGGAAAACAGTAGCTAGATAAAGGAATTTGAGAATGTCTCCACTAAGAAAATCTATCTTTTATCACTCCAGTACATCTTGCACTTCACAAAATACAACCATAGCTGGCCTGGAGGCAAATCCCATTGAATCCAATGGGACTTCCTCTGAAGAGCACTGGTTTCTGCAGCAAGCTCTTCTTTATGTGCATTCCTTGCCGAAGTGTGTTTCTTTTCCAGCAGATGGATTGTTCTTGTGATTGACCATGTCATCCTACGTTTCGGCAATGAAATTAGTGAAGTTTTTCGGTCAGCAAGCTGCCTCTGTAAGGTCTGTGGCTGAGACATGCGGAAGAGCCTATCCCCATAAGAGGGCAGATCTCTTGTGTTTAGGCAATGAAATAATCCTATTTTAGCTCAGCCCTGGAAATGTTGTGGCAGACTAAATGCAAATTGCTCTGCAGCAGCTGGGTTTGTCAAGAGCAATTTTGAGATTAGCGGTTCCAGGGGGAGGAGAGAGAGGAGGAGAGGGCAGCCGCCTCCTGTTCCTTCTTTGTTCTCCTTAAAAGCTTCTGAATATTTGCTATTGCCGGAAGCATTAAGTTATTTTACACACACAGCTAGTGGAGTTGCCCTGAAAGGGCATATCTTAGTTGCAGATCTTGAAGGGCATTGTTTTATAAACAAGCAGCACAAAAGCAGAAGCTAAGGAACTGTAGAGTTTTAATGTCCAATTTCTACTTACTGACTTTATGCCCTCTTTTAACCATTGAATTTATGCTTCCTTGAGTATTACTTCCACTGAACCCATAAACAAGTCATTTATAGAGTTGAGACTTCTTCTCCTATTCTTAATGGGTGGGACTATTGTGTTATTATACATCTCTTTTTTCCCCTTGCTGTGTGTGTCTGAATGATTTGCAAACCGATGGCTATACCCTGGTACCATTTTGCATTAAGTTTCAAATATTGAAATACATTGTTTTGCCCTTGCTGAATGGGAGCACTTTGCAAAATGAGATTGCATATATTTATACTGGAAGCTGAGGGTGCCTATTATGGTCAGAACTGAATGTGGTTTTATGATGTGACATGGAGGTCCCTGCACCAAATTTTGCTGTCTTCCCTCTGCCCCCTCCCTGGCTCCCTGGTTCAGATGTTGGTGCAACGGGCATCCAGTGTTCTGTGCATACGTTTTCTTACTCGTCATTTTCTTTCCTGCGTGGCAACCAGCCCCATCGCCTTTGTATAGAGGAGTCATTGATCACATGTGATCTTGCTGGGCAAACCTCTTGAGGCTTTCTGGTTGGCATAGATCATAATACAATAGTGAATTAATACTTTTTTTTTTCCAAATAAGTGTGTTTTATATCAAAAGAGCAGGTTGAGGGCAGAGAAGGAGTGTTTTGCACTTGCTAAGATCTATGTTCTCTGATCTCTCTCTTGTTGGGACCTGATCTCTGCTAACTAAAAAAAGGCCATCCTTTTTGGTATTTTTCCTGCAGCTTGTACTGGCCAGCAAAGGCTTTTTCTATGACGGTTTCTTCTTCCTGAAGGAGAGGGGAAGATGGAGGGGCAATGGCACCCTCTTCTCCCTCCTCTTTGAAATTCAGATCCACTCACTAATCAGATTAGCAGCCAGCTATGAAAAACAGCTTCAGATCTGCATCAGCTGCTTCCAAATTGCTGGGGGATAAAATTGGGGTTCTTAGGTTCAGTGCAGAATGTGCAGCCATTCTGAGGAGGGCTGCATCCCTGCAGGAAAGAAGCCATGGTAAAGAATGAATATGGGGCTAAAGTGGCTCTGTTCACAAAGCTTTTCCAAAAACAAAGCCAGGGGTCATCTCAAGGGTCACTGCAGGACTGCTTGGGCAGGAGAAAGGGAGCCTCAGCAAAGCTCCTTAAGCTGCTTTGTCATGTGGATTTTCAGTGGTGCCCAGATCGCTGTCTTCAGGGATGACCCTCTTTGCCTGACACAGTTGTTCTGCTAAGTGGCTTCCCCCCAAAAAGGATTTTTTTCCCTTGTGCTGGGCTTCTGTAATGCAGAGGGAGCCCTTGCCCTTTTACTGGCCAGAGCCCAGGCAAGCATGTCAGAAGAATGAGGAGCAGAGAAGGAGAAATCACGATGATGACTCTCTGGCATTCTAGCGAATAGGGTGTCTTTTGCCCTGGGTCTTCTTGCAGAGAAACAAAAGCCTCATTTTCCATCACGGAGAGGAGGTGACTGGCTCCATGGGTGAATTGTTATCCTCTTCCAATGAGCTCTGCCCATGTGATCTGTTAAAGTGCGGCGGGGCATTAGGATACCAGGCTTCTCCTTTTTAAAAAAGAAGTGCAAGCCTTAAAGTCTTATTTCCTTTGGTTAACAGGGGAGTTACTAACATTGACAGCATGGATCAATCTGTGCTCAGAAGGGAGAGGCCCCCAGTGCTTCATGACAGGTATGTGTTTGCCCCCAAAGGATTGCTCTTCAAACCTTCATGCCCTTCTTGCAGGGCCAACGGACCTTCCTTCCAAAACAAATATGCAGAGTTCTTTCCCCTTTAGGTCCAGTCAGTGTGGCGTAAGAGTTTGGTCACTAGCTTATTAAGATATTTGGCTTCCCCTCTGAAATCTGGAGGTTTAGGTCTGATGTGACCTTAATACAACTGGACTAAACAGAAAGTCAATTAATGGGTTTGGTTTTTCTGTGAAATTAAAGGCATGATTTCAGAAAGTCTGCCATTTGTTTATCAGCCTCTAGTTGGAGGGCAAGACCTAGAAGAAAATTTCAGCAGATATATAGAATGGTGCTTTGTATGCCAGCCAGCGCTGAGTCCGTCACTGGCATGTTTATCCATAATCTGTTGTGATTTTCTTGCCAAATCAATTATAGTTTGTGTGATGTTTGTTAAAGCCTGGTCTTGAAAGGGGAGGTGAAATGTGGTGAGCTGATGAGGGACTCATGAGCACAAGAACCAAGGCACATGTTTCTAATTTATAGGTCAGCAGAGGCTGAAGGTGGTCCATCTATCCCTTTTAGCGTTTTTGTGTGTGTTGCCATAGTACTTAATATCAGTAATTTTGGCAGCATTGTTGGGAAAGGTTCCACTTTCTCCCTTGATTGCATTTTGATTGTCTTTGTTGAAAATACAGCTCTTATTTGCCAATTATTTCAAGTTAGAATGTCACTGAAATTGCAGCTGTCTCCTGATTATAAAATGGTTAAAGTCCTCTAAATGGCCTCATTTGTTTTAATCATACCCTGTGAAGGCACACGTGTCTTATCTTTTCTCCCTGCTTTTTTATTTGGCCCCTGCTCATTCTTATGCCTTAAAAATCAGAGCCTCAAGTCAAATGGCCATAAAGTTGCTTCTGTGTCAAATGCAAGAATTTTAAGAGTTTTTCTTAACAGAGGAGCATGCAGCAGGACCTAAAAGATAGCACTGGAGTCATATAAATAAGCCAATCTATTGCACATTTGAATACTGTTTTCTCTGCAAAGCTGAAATCTGTGCATTATTTGCACTAATACAGTGTGTGCCCATTGGAGCTTCCTGGCACTGGCATCGGCTGCAGGTGCAATTTCGAGATGGTAGCCGTAGGGATTGTTCATTCATCACTTCTCTGGAGACAATGCTGGTTGAACTTTTTAACACTGTGGTGGTCGTGGGTGTAAAATCAGCCATGAGGCAATGTGTGAATTAGTTTCTGGGGTCAAGTTTCAAAACATCATCAGTATAAACATCCCTCAAACCCTGGGTTTGCCATGAACCTCAAATCCAAGTTTTGGTGTCACGACAAACGGGGCAAAATATATCAGACTTGTGTTCACCAAGATGACTACCTAGAGAAAGTCACAGATCCTGTGACCTATGAACAATTGCATGGCTTTTTCTGCTGATGGGAACATGCTTGCACTGGGTTGTAAATCATTCCTTGCTCCCCGGATTGCTTTAGCATGAGTTCCTTACCAATGAGTTATCTTCTTTCCTCAGACAAACTCATGAGGAATCTGATATTGTGCACCTGGAAAATTAGGCAACAAAATACCCTGTGTACATCTGCTGCCCTCCAGATGGGCCGGAACTACAGTTTAAATAACTCCCCGCCTCTGCAGCCAACATCATGATTTCACCCATGAATGAACATTGTGTCCTGAGTCTTCTCCATTCTTCCCTCCTTTGATTTCAAAGTAGGGCAACCGTGGCTTCCTTGTGGCTCTCTGTGTAGCTAATCAGGTTAAGATGTTCCCAGTGAAGGTTTACTAAGAAACTGGAATTTGTTTCTCTTACTTTACCTATTAGATTTATGGTACTCCTTGCTTCTGTGCATAGCATTTCCTCCTTCAGTGTTTTCCCTCCCAGCGTTGTGCTGGAAAGAAGAGACTGGCCCCATGCCCCTCAGTGGGCTTTCAAGGCTGGGGATCAACTTGAATTCTGAGTCTTTAACCAGGATGGATATGCCAATGCCGGCCATTGGGCGGGGCAGGAGCTGTAAGACTCCAATGCTCCTTTGCAGGTTGAGATGTTAGGCCAAGATAATTGAGTCTGAACTGGCTGATAGGATGTTAAACTTAATCATAGTCTTATGTTTGAATTGAACCCACAAGTTCAGAAGTTAACTGGGAGAATCTGAAGTTGAAAATAATTTTAAGCATAGTTCCTTATCTTCTGTGTAGTAAGAGAAAATGTTTGAAGCTTTCCTTTGCAAACGGAAGACCAACAGCTTTTAAGACCCTGAGATTATAAGGTAATAGATGAAAAGCAGGAACAGAAACATGCAAAACAAAACAACAATGCAAGCTTGGCGGTAAAAGGGAGTTGATTCTCCTGCGCTGTTAGAAATGTAAGTATTAGGGTTAAATCTGTATCCCCACAGAAAGGCGAAAAATGCAGAAGAGCGAGCCCTGGCTGTTTTGCAAGTAGAGCTTCAAATTCCAGTTTGTAGTTGACGGTAACTGAAAGCACTTTGCATTTGGCCTTTTTCTTTGTTACAGTAAAGTTTTGATACCATCTTACAGTAACGTGTGTTGTGAAGATGGCCTTATTCTATGTTGCCCTGTTGATTTAGTAAAGTGTTTGTATCCCGTCACTTCACTACATGCCATCGTGGCATAGTTCTTAAAAACGTTTGAACAACAAATGTTTAAACAGCCAAAATTAAATCCGAGGTGCAGTGAATAGATTGAATTCAAGCCAGTTTGCTGCGAGTTGAGCCACAAAGTAACCACCCAGGTTCTTCTGGGAGAATATTGGGCCATCTAGTCTGGATTGCAGTTGAAAGGTCTCTGGCTGGGTTGATCCCTTGCTGAATTATAGTTTGCGTAGCCCTGGTTTGTGGAATGCATCTTCTCCCCCTGCTGTGGAGAAGATCTCTGAAAGGGATGTGCGTGTGAAGGTGGGCGCCCCAGAGGCGCCCTGGGTGGAATCTTTCCTCTCTTCCTTCTCCCTGGCTAGGGCCGCCATCTGCCCTGCGGTTGGATTATTTTTAAATTGTTGGCATTTTTATTTATAATAGTTTAAGAAGTTAAATTAAACTTCCTTGGGAGAATTGTTGCCCTGGCTTGCTGCAAGTTTGGAACCTTCCTTTTTAGGAAGGCTTCGTGGATCAAGGGGTTTAAGCTCATTGGTAGTTGGTTTGCTTTGGCGTAAAGATTTGGCTAGGTGTGAAATCTTCCATTTTTTTTTTAATTTTTAAAATTTAGAAGAGATATATTTTAAAAAAAGATAAACTAGAGATATATAGTTACTACTGTTGTACAATTAATGTTCAGTATATTACTAAAAGATATCAAGCGTTTTTATAATATTGGAAAGGAAAAAAGTACTACGAATGTTTGAGCTCAGTTACAATGTCTCCACTACATTATCGTTTACAAATATTTAAAAAAGAAAAGAAAAAAAAAGAGAAAAACATCCCTAAAAACAATACAGATTTTTGTATTTGATTTTTGACTTCCCCCCTCTTTGTTCTCCACCTGCTTGGCATTATCTAGTGGGGTAATAAATTCCAAATTACTGTGTTTGTGTTTAATATATGAAATGATCTGTCAAGAGTAAGTTTATGGTTAGCAGCTTTGAAGGCTCTCTTAAACTGAGTGGAACGCTGAAAGTACCTGCTCCTCTCTTCCATATGGGGCTGGCTGAACAGTTTTGCTGCCCCCGGCCCCAGGAAAACAGGTTCTGTTCATCTGGCTGCTTCCTCAAATAATGCAGAAGAGGAGGACGTAAAAGTGCTCTCGCCATCTTGCCTGTTCTGATGAAACGTCTGAAAGGGCTTAATTCAGGCTCCATTTCTTTCTTTCATTCCCATGACATGCAGTGGGTCATGGCGTGCCGCTGCCATTGGCCTGTTAAAAGGGAGCCCTAAACATCCATCTTTAGTTCCTACTGTTAATCTCTTCACATCATCGCCAGAAGGTGGCATTACTGATTTTGAATGCGCATTACCTCACTTTTAGGTCTTTCAAAAACTTCATTGTGTAATAAATGTTGCCCGTGGGTGTTACAGTGCTGCTCACTGACATGCAGGGAGCAGTTAGATCGATGTGTTTTAATCCAAGTTGCCATGTTATTAATTCCTGTAAGCTCATCAGGAGTCCTTCCTGGATTTTTAAAATGCAAAAGTTGTAGCTAGGTCAGTGAGGGCTGGGCTAAATTTGGGAATTCTGGAGTCCCTAACTGTAAATGGTAGGTCCTGTTGGCATTAGTAAAGCATTGATTGATTGATTATATGCCATCAAGTCAATGTTGACTCTCAGCGACCACCTAGATAGATTTTCTTCAGGATGATCTGTCCCTAACCTGGTTCTTCGGGTCCCCCAACACTGCACCTATTGCCCCTGTAACTGAGTTCCTCTACCCTGCTGCTGGTCATCCTCTTCTTCTCTTTCCTTCCACCTTTCCCAGCATTAGAGCTTTTCCAGAGAGGCAGGTCTTTGCATGATGTGTCTGAAATAGGATAATTTGAACCTGCAGTAAAGCATACTTCCTTTTTTAAAATAATATTTTTATTAGAGTTTATATATATAAAAACTAATACAAAAATAAAAGACCTACTTCCTGATATAACAGTTTATACTTTTAGTTTTAATGTACAGCAAAAACTCAAAAGTCAGCTTGATTAATACTTGAAGTAGGATTCCCACTTGTGGTTTTGAGTTTCCATGCATCTTTAATCTGAAACCTTGACATTTTGACTTTCTAGTTACTTAATGATAACCCTGAAATATGTAGTCTTTTATTCAGCCACATTCAGCAGGATGGAAACAGGGAATGATTACACTGGAGATATCCTAAAGTAATTTAAACATCTGAAATATATCTTTGCATCTTGCTCCTCAGAAGTATTCACCCAAGTTTTGACCAGCTTATCCTCTTCTCCACTCCCGTAATGTCATAGTCCAGCCTTCGTTAGTTGGAAAAACTCATGGGCCCCATGTGCCTTGAAACCCCTTATG